CTTTTTTTTTTTTTTTTTTTATCTCTTTATTTACAGCAATCAGAATACAAGGTATCCTATAAGCTATTGTGAAAATTTAACAATACACACACATGCATACGTACATGCACACAAACATACTCACACGCACGTTAACAAAAAAGAAATTATATAATAGTAACCACTTCAGCAAGTGGTATACTAGTTGGCTCAGGTCCTTCGGCCGTTTACTGGGAAAACTACGTATTTTAAGATCTAATGTTATGAAATTATCATATACACTAACATACGTACATACATACGCACAGACATTCACACACACACTCTCTCAATAAAAGATTTATAAATATTTAATAGAGGTCACTTCATCAAGTAATATTCTGCTTAAATCAAATCACTCGGCCATTTCTTCTTCAATCTTCTGCTGTTTGGAGTTGCTAACAGTGGCGCCATTAGTGTGTTTGGATGGTTTTCGAGCTTCCGGTGATGTTTTTCACTGATTGATTTAATGACTTCATTAACGAACTGTATATTTAGATCGTTATGGATCATCTGATTAGTTACGTACCAGGGTGCTCCTGTGATCAAACGAGTAATTTTTGATTGCATCCGTTGTATAAGAGCAATATTTGATTTGCTTGAGCAGCCCCAAATCTGAAGACCATAAGTCCACAACGGTTTAATTATCATATTATAAATAAGGACCTTGTTTTCTAGAGATAATTTGGATCTATGTCCAATGAGCCAGCCGAGTTCTTTAACTCGCGTTTTCATTTGCTTAACTTTAGTGCAAATGTGATGTCGCCAGGTGAGTTTTTCGTCAAAGTGAATTCCAAGATATTTGATGGTGCTGACTGTTGGAATTTGATTGCCATTTAAGAACACTGCAGGACACGATTGTTTGTTAAGAGTGAAAGTAATGTGGCTAGACTTAGACTCATTGATGCCTATGTTCCACAGTTTGGTCCAATCTTCAATCAAATTAAGATGATACTGCAGTTTTAAACAAGCAGTACTAGGGTTGTCATCAGTGGATAAGATTGATATGTCGTCTGCAAAAGTGGCGATTGTGGTAATAGACGTTGTAGGAATATCGCGCGTAAACAGGGTGTATAGGAATGGACCCAACACACTTCCCTGCGGTACCCCTGACTTGATAGGAAATACGTCAGACGACGAGGAATTAACCTTGATTATAAACTTTCTGTTGACAATATATGATGTTAAGATATTATGATACTTTACTGGTAAGTAGAGTCTAATTTTTGTGACGAGTCTGTCGTGGCACACTTTGTCGAATGCTTGTTTGACGTCCAAAAAGACGGCGGTGCAATATTGTTTGGATTCGAATGAGTTATAGATATGACTGGCAATCCTGTGACACTGCTGTATGGTTGAGTGCTCTTTACGAAATCCAAACTGGTGATCAGGGAAGATATTGGATTCCTTCAAAATATCTTGTAGTAACAGTTTTTCTAAAATTTTGACAATATAGGAAGAAGGCTGATTGGCCTATAAGATGTGACTAAGTGTTGATCCTTGCCAGTTTTTGGAATCATCTTTATTAAAGAGGTCTTGAATTGATTTGGCCAGTAGTCAAGTCTCACAATAGCGTTGAAGATATAGGTGATTATAATGAATCCTTTTACAGGCAATTCTTTGAGCATTCTGGGAGATATTTGGTCTATTCCAGGCGATTTTTTTGCTTTAACTTTCTTTATTTCACTAACTACTACTATTTGAGAGACAAGAAACGTTTCTCGCTTTCGTGACTGCTATTATGGTCTAAAGCAGGACTAATGTTGACATTATAATTTGATAAATTGTTAGGCCGAAAAACTGTAGCTAAGTATTCCGCAAATATATCTGCTTTGTCTTTGTCACTTCTTGCCCATGCAGAGGTCTGGGTATCCATACGAACTGGAGGATTTTGAAAGTTAGGTTTAAGTTTATTTTTGACGGGTTTCCAGATAGAATTGTCAAAACGATTCAAACTGGATACATAGTTATTAAATCTCACTTGATTGAGTTCCTTTAACCTTGCTTTCAACTTGTTGCTCAGATTATTGAAAATGTTTTTGTCTGTGGGCAAATGACTATGTTGCCACCTACGCCTAGCTTTTCTTTTTTCTGCTATGAGCCTTTTTATTTCATATGTTGTTGTCTGGCAGGAGTTTTCTGTCGTAACAGGAGTAGGAGTAGCAAACTTTGCAGCATCGTATAGAAGAGTATTAAAGGAATCGATGGTGTTTTCGATATCAGCGGAATTTTTAAGTTTAACTTTGAGGTTAACTTTGTCTTCTACGAACTTCCGGTAGATGTCCCAGTTTTTTTTATGGTTGCAGATCCTAGAGGAGGGTTTAAAAATACTTGCCGAAGTGCTTATGCTGGCTATTACTGGACTATGGTCAGATGATAAGTCGTAGCTTGCTCGTACTTCCTTGTGAATTGAGCTTATACCCGATGATACAAAAAAGTCCAATAGATCTGGTTTTTTGGCAGGATCGCTCGGCCAGTAGGTGGGGGAACCTGAAGAAAGAACACTATAATTGAGTTTATGTATTGTATCATATAGCTGTTTTCCTTTAGGATTATTTAATCTTGAGCCCCAATTGACGTGTTTGCTGTTGTAGTCTCCGCCGGCGATGAAATGACTACCTAGTGTAGAGAAAAAATCTTGAAATTGTAAACTGGTTATATTGTGCCTCGGCGGAAGATTTTACAATAATGGCAGTCCCACCATGTGCGGTGGTGCCATCGGGATGGTTAGTGAAGTATGTCTTGTAATTTGGTATATAAAAGTTTGAATACTTGTGAAGTGTGTTTCACTAATTAAAAAGATGTCGATATTGTTGTGTCTCAAAAATAATTCTACTTCGGCTTTGTGTTGATACAAGCCGTTAGCATTCCATAATCCTAAGTTTAAAATATTAGCCATTATTTAGCTTTATTAATGTTGATTAATGTTGATAACATTTTGACAATCATGGTGTTTTGTTCCATTAACTGGCTAAACATATTTCTAAATTCAGTCAGGAAATCAGACATCGATGGAGAATTACTGTTGTTAATGTGATTTTGATTGTTGTTAAATAGGTTTGATTGCGATTTTATTACCTGAGCATAAGACATATGCTGAGGATTTGCGTACTGAGAAATTCTATTGTTGTGTAGGTTGGATTTGTACCGGTTTGCATTTGTGTGTAAATAAGTCCCGTTACTTCTGCCTATTGTTGCTTGATCGTTATCTGCACCGACAAGGTGAAGGTAGTAAGAACACCCTTTGTAGTTTGCGGTATGATTATCGCCGCAATGATAACAAAGGGGCGGGGCTTCAGCTGCTTTTGTACACTTTTTAGACTCATGATCAGAGCCGCATTTTACACATATAAATCTGCGGTTGCAATAACGCTGGGTATGGCCGTACATTTGGCACCTTACACACTGCGGAATATTATTTGATGATCTTATTGGGGGCTCAAAATGAATTATTTGGTTTAACATTTTATTCATTTTAAAAATTGACGAATTGTTTTCTTTGGGTTCTAAGTCTATGTAAAACATGTTCAGCAGTTGTTTAGTTTTCGGATGTATGATATTAGTAATATTTCTGACAGGATGACCTTCTTTTTCAATTGCGGCTTTGATATCATTTTTATCTGTGGCGTAGTGCAGATATTTGAGTACAACCCTGTATGAGCGTTCCGCTTTTATCTGGTAGGTATGAAAAACGACGTCTCTTTCACGCAGAAATTTAACAAAATTGCGGTAGTCTTCTATTTCAAAAATGTTGAATTTAATAGTTTTATTGGGTAGGTATTTAGTGATGTATTTGTTTTTATTAATAATTGAATTAATATCCGCTATCATAAGATTGTAATCTCGAAACCCGTAGACAAATAAAGGCGGAGGAGTAGATTTTTTATTATCTGTTGCCTCGTCTGATGGTTTAGAAACTTTGTTTTCTAGAGCGCTGAATTTGTTGGCTAATTTTATGGGA